CTGGCCTTTCTGTGGCTTGCTCATTTTTTTCGGTGTTTTCCTGGGATGGTTCAGACTCAACCCTGCTGGGGGCGCGACTTTGATTCTGCAGTTGTGCTATCGCCGCCTATTAGGCCTGTAACATTTCGAAGATCGCCCGCAGATTGATCATGTCGCCTTCACCTTCAGGAATAACCTGAGTCGCTGGACGGGCTCCTCCACGAACATTTTTCTCAGGGTCGGTCGGCAGCTTGGCATCGATGGCCACATGTGAGTTGGCGTCGACTGGGTCTGCAACTGGGACTCTGTTGAGATTAGTAAGGGGGCACCTCGTTGCTAGGCACTATATTGTTGTTTTCGCCGTGATGGCCAAATTCAGCATCAACATTCAAGTAAGCATACTGAGAGTTTGACATTTTTAGGTTGACCTGAAATTAAAATCTCAAAGAACAAGCGTAAAACAGAGTGTGTTATGGAAATTTGTTTCAAATTACCACTAATATCCTTAGCCCCACAGTGGCCCCCAAACTATTTACTCTTAAAATGGATAATAATTAAATTTATACGTGATTTTAAAGATATGTGGACTAATCTAATACAAGTGAGCAATAATGTTAGATAAGCAAACGAAAGATAGAATAAATAGCCAAAGCAGTAGTAGTTTTGAATCCGGGCTCAGATGTGGGCTTAACAATTAATCTGCCTTCGACTCATAGCCAAAATATATATATGAACATCTATGAACAAGAATAGAACCTTTGAATAGCTTAGAAACAGAGGAACAAATTTATATTTGTCTTGATATGTGTGTTACAATGTGCTTATTGAATAATAAACTTCCCCCTTATATAGTAGGGGAGTTTTACCCCAAGTACAATTCTAAAAAAGGTAAAAATTTTCCTTTTTCGCTAATCACTGATCTGATGCTGATACGGGCCGAGATCCACGCCGTGATATCCAGTCGGGCACGGATATCATGGCCCTTTTTTAATCGTGCGCGGGCGTTTGATAATGCTTTCCGAGGTCTTGGAACTCGAACCGGATCCGGAGGGTGTGGTCTCGATAGCTGTGAGGGCAGGTGTTGTCTTCGGGCCTTGATACGAGAGGCTCCCACCTTCGATTTCGATTCCTTGTAGTTAGGTCCTTGCTTCGTTTGCCCCACCGAAAAATCGGGATGCTCGTTATCCTCGGTTTTACCCGCATACAACATGCAATGCACTATGTAGAGATGTCATTATGGGCGGGGCCGGGCTAGCCTAGCCCACGCAAGCTTTAGCGATTGATGGGTTGGGCTGGGCTAGCCCGCCATTTTGATGGGCCTTATAATGGCCAGCCCACCCCAGCCCTATGTGGGTTGCCGGCCCCCACGGACCGGCCCATCATTTTTTAAAAATATAATTTTATATTTTTTATTTAAGTTCTAACCTAAAAAAGATAAATATTTAAAAGTTAAAAAAATCTTATTGGAAAAATTTCACAAAACTTAATAACTTTTTATATTGTTCCAATATATCACAATAAATACTAAATAAGTAAAAGACAATACTTTATTTCATTCACTAAAAGTCAAAACTCAAAACAAATTATTCAAGAGAACGTCCATGACACTTATGGGATATCCAACATATCATCTTCATCAAACACATTTGAATCCCATCAAACACATTTGAATCCGCTTGTGAGAAGTTTGTCTTAATATTTTCACTTTCATCTACATCTACAATACATATGCAATATTAATTAGTTAAATATTAAGAATAATTAAATTTTTAAAACTAATTAACGTTTTAAGACTTTGATCTTTTAATATGATGAGCTTAATAAACTTTAAGCTTGGGATACTTTTCTTCTTATTTTTTGTGTCATATACTTTTTATATTTTATATATTTTAAATACGTATTTTTATTAGGTCCACGGGCCGGCCCAGCCCAACCTCAGTCAAACCTCACGGCCTTACTCGGTCGGGCTTAAAAGCCAGGTTTTTAAATGGGCTCCAAAAATTCTAGTCCAGCCCAGCTAAACACGGGTTGGACTGAGCTGGCATAACGGGTCAAGCCCATATTGACGGCTCTAGCATTATGCATCCATTCTAGTTAGCACCATCTCTAGATTAGTACTATTTGGGATTTAACTAACTTCAATATAATGATAGTGTAATAAAAATTTTACGCTATCAAATTGTTTAAAAGATAATTACACGGGGAGTTATTAACCCCAAAAACAAGACAGGTGACATGGTTAAAATAGTTTACAAATGTAGAAAATAGATAACTAATTTTATAAGTTAAATTCATTTAGCCGATAGATATGGACGTTTTATTCACGGTGAGGTACTCTAGTGAAGCTACCCAATTAGCATAAGGGACAATTGACTATTGAGAGATAAGAAAGGTCGATTTTGCAATAAGGGGAAGAATGTGATTCTCCTCCTCCCCCGTTACTTTATGAGTTTGACTTTTCTTTAAATCTTTTCTTCTATTTGGTCTAATAGTATCTTTATATCCTTAATTTATCTTCACTAGGTGAGGGCAGCGGGCGAGATCAATCCAAGCCAATATTTTCCATTGTGACATTATTCTTTATTATATTAGAGTAAATTCCAATTAACCTCTTTGATCTTGAAAGAATCCTAAACTTCAAAATGTCTACATACAAAAAAGCTCTTGAGATATTCCAGCAGATTAGACCACCAGAAACGCTACTTATTCTGTACATCCGTGAATTTTCACTTTGTCAAATAATTAAAACAAATTGCTCCGTCCTTTTCTTTTTGTTTCCTTCTTCCCCTTCTCAATTAAAGTGAAAAGGAGAAGGCTTCGATTATCTTCAATGTGTAATTATATTCTTTCCATCTCTATATAGAAGTTTGCAACTAATTAAACTTAATGGTATTATTTATACATATTCCTTCCTTTTAATTTCGACCACAAAATGAGGACAATGGAAAGAAAAAAAGGGGAATATAATGCCATGAGAATACAGTTCCATCTAATAGTTGTTTACTTTTTTTTCTTTTACAAAAACATAAGAGTATAAATATGGTCACATATAAAGAAAGATAATATTATTCTTTACCTTAATTTAACGTTTAGCATCCTATTCCTAAAAAATATATTATCACTATCACCATTATTTCATAGCTATACTTATATTTAGAATATGCTTTCAGTTAATTAATGCAACAACGTTAAAGCATCATGTTATGCCTAAGGCCAATAGGAGGGGGACCATTCTTATTTAATTTTACTACACTTAATTAATGTGGAATTCTCACCTATACCACAGATTTCGGAGTTTAAGAAATGTGCAAGAATTGTGGTTTTGTTGTTGGAAGAGGGTTCGAAATAACACAATTGGTGGGGAAATAAATAAAAGTTTGTACTATCACTGTGCAGCTGGACCATGCAGTAAAAACTGTAGAATAGTACATTAAAAATAATATTGTAAGGTGAGCTGATCGATCATATGTATTTCTTTATTTAAGCTTTTTTAAATGTTTTTTGGGGCTCTATGTTTTTAAGGATGCCTCCTCGGATTGTAACTATAGAAAGATCCAAGGGATGTCTAGGTATCTTGGAACAAATTAAATGTAGTTGTATAACGTGGTTGCACCAATTACTACCCTTTTGTTGTAGTAAAAGGAAATATTATAAATAGTAGTTAGACATCATTACGGACAAAAGTGCTATTAGAAGCACTGCTAGAGTTCAAACAAGAGGCATAGCAAGAAGCACTCGTACCCACGTTAACATTGTTCAAAATACTCATATCCCTAATTATTTTAGTATTATAAAAAGTTCCTACTTTAATTTGTCCTCGATAGTACGTCCAAAGCAAACATAGAAGGATGAAGGAAAATATTTTAGTATATATCTCTTAATGATCTCTACGGTTCTTTACGCTTAAAAATAACTAGTAATATTTCTATTTATAATAATACGAAACTTATCTTAACTAGAAACTGAAAAATGTAATTATTCTTTTATAACTCCGACTATAAATTCTAATTAAATATAAATTAAAATATCAAATTTTAAATAATTCTGGTATCCTACTGCAAAACAAAATGATTGTATAGCTGCATGCTGGTACCTAAAGGCTAAAGCTATGCTGGATAAACGGGTTCCCCAATTACTACCTAAGGCTAACAAATGGACAGAAAAAATATACTGCAACTATTCTTCTCTTTATGAGGAAGGGGGTAACAAAAATTGGAATCCACCTACCTGATCATCTCTCAAACAATTATTATTTTTAATTTTAAGCCATAATAGTCCTTAAAATTGAGTTCGTCTTTGTTTTATCGCGCCTAATCAAAGTTCAATAAATTATCAGTTAAGCTTGATATTCGAGCTTGCTTTAAGCCTAGTTTACGACTCAAGCTGAACTGATCAGATCTTGTAGTACTCAACCCAAACTCAAACATCTATTGCAGAGGTAAAATTTACGGCTTTTAGCACATTTGGCCACTCAATCAAAAATAATTACATTTTCTAGTCAATATACATATGTTATACATTAATTGTGTACAATATATACATATTTCAGCTTTCTTTTTGGGGCGGGCGGCTATTTAAATTAATTTCTCTAGAATGATTTTACTTCATTGTTTTCAAACTGAATGAAACACATTTTCTCAGTCTTCCTTACCGAGAGGACAATCTTTTCATTGTGATCATTACCCCATTGTGTTGCTACTTGCTATAACCTAGTCTCTCTTATTCTTACTCGATCGCCTTGCTATTTTTGTTGTATTTTTTTATTAGCATATTTCACTGCTGCCACTGCTCCTGTTAGTCTCAAGAATCCTTTGTTTTAGCCTTAGGGCACGTCACGTTCATGATATATACATTCAACTGCATGTGTTTCATTGACACGATCAAAGCACACGGCCATATATAACTTTTATCTTATCCGAGTAGAATTTAATTTAGAATCTAACAATTGGTACAAGTTGTTTTCATTCCTAGAGTTGCAGCCAAGAGAGATTAATAGAGACTTTAGTGTCTTCGCTCAACATACAACAAACTTTTACTTTATTTCCCCGAGCACAAATGCATACTCTTGCACCATGTTTAAAGCAGTCAGTCTCATAATTACAACATCGTCTTACACAAACATGGCAGTTTTGGATGGTTTCATCATATATCTAAAACATGCAATTCTTTACAGACATCTTCTGATTACACGCACATTAATCAAACTACCTAGCACACATATGACTCCACACAAGTTGATCACCAGTTTTCAATTATATCCTTGTTAAACCAAATACGATGGCAATAGTAGCAAGAACAGCCTGCAACACGCAACAGTATCAGATGGAGATATTAAATTAAGCTAGGAAGAACATATTATATTGTCAACTACTATCACTCTACATCTCAAATAGCTAGTTTAGCATAATAGACGAACTTCTGATCTGATTAACCAGTTGTGTGCCATTTCATTGACAAAATTCTTAAATGAATCTTGAATTAATGCGCACTTATTTTCACTCTCATGCAGTGATCATATTTCATTAAGCTTGGACTTGCTAAGAGTGTAATGGTCTTTCTTTTGAAAGTATTCTTGAAATTCTGCACCTACATCATGTCTACTGTAATTGAACCTGTTTCCCTCCTGCTATGGAACTCTACAAGAAAATGAAGATTCTTTTCAAATAATATCTCTACATTTACTAACCTATGAATCATAGTTTTTCTCTTCATAATCTAATGTTAGTTAATCAGGATAACCATAACAGTGAAAAATTAGTGCACAGACCGTTTCTATAATAACTTGCAAAGTTATGTTATAAACCATGACCTTATAGGCCTGCTGATACCATGAAGGAAAACTCGTTAGAAATGAAAGACAAGTTGAAGGTATCACCAAAAAAATAACAATAAAAGAAACAGATCGCTTACAGCAATGGTGCATGTAACATATCCTGGTTTCTCTCGATGATCAACTGATCTGGTGCAGAGCAGGATAAATGCAGCAACATACCAAGGGATGGCAACAAGAAAGAAACCAGTAATGAACCTTCAAAAATAAAACCCCAAACAAAAATAGAAATCTCACTTCATTGTATTCCAGACATCCTTTAAAATGTATAAGGTCAAACTGCAGCATTACATGGTACCATAAAATAATACTCCTAAAAGTAACACCTGAAAGACAGACCTTTGCCCTAACCTCCATATCGAATACTGTTTGCTAAACTACACTTTCAACCAAGAAGTTCAATAGAAGCCTTTCAGTCATTCATTCCATGATATCAGATCCCACTACCTTTATCTCTAATATTAACAGGTGTCAGCAATAATATACTTGAGAAAATATCTCTTTTGGTCCTTCCCAGAGAATAAGCAGCTTCCAACACAATCTTAGTTCAAGGCTATGTTGCTCGGACTCTTCAAAAGTGCTGCCGCACCCTTGTCGGATTCTCCAAAAATGCACTAAATTTGGAGGATCTGACACGCACCCAACATTATTTTTGAAGAGTCCGAGTAACATAGTTTCAAGGTTCTTTTTTCTTATGGCTGGTGGGGTACAAAGTGTTGAGAAAATAATATCCATGCAAATAACAATAACACAAGAGAGTAACAACGAGATCAACTCTTTTAACGGGGTAAAACACAATACCTGAGCGAAGCAGGTACAAAGTGTTGAGAAAATAATATCCATGCAAATAACAATAACACAAGAGAGTAACAACGAGATCAACTCTTTTAACGGGGTAAAACACAATACCTGAGCGAAGCAATATAATACCACTATAATATTACAACTTGGTAGTGCCAAGATACTACTACAACTTCAAAATAAACAACACTATTTATTTTAAGCACCTTACTACGATATTACTCTCACTCACTATTTATCTCATAGACTACTATTTGTGGATTACTCTCTCTAACTCTCTGTTGCTTCTCTCGATTTGGTGTGTTTAAATTGAAACTGAATGGCTCTATTTATAAGGAAAGGAGTCGTCCAATTCAGCCAATCAAATTCATTGGTTGCAATTTACAAATTCGCAAATTGCCATCTTGTTACCGTCCATTTCAACTTGTTGCATTGCAACTTGTTTCCAGCTTTTGTTTTGCTTTTTCTTTTATTTATTTTTATTTGAATGGGTCCCACAAATCTCTCCCTTAATTTTGATTTTTTCCTCCATTCCAAGACAGGATCTCAATCTCTGGAAATCTTCAAATTTGAGAGGCTTTGTGAAGATATCTGCAATTTGATCATGAGACTTCACATATTTGAGCTCGACTTCCTTCTTGGCAATGTATTCTCTAATGAAGTGATACCTTGTGTCTATATGTTTGCTTCGATCATGATACACCGGATTCTTCGCAAGTGCTTGTGCGGATTTGTTGTCAATATAAATCTCTGTAGTTTCAATTTGTGGAAAATTGAGCTCCTTCAATAATCTTCTCAGCCAAACAGCATGACAGGTACAAGATGTTGCTGCTACATATTCTGCTTCACAAGCCGAGAGAGTAGCAATTGGTTATTTCTTTGAACTCCAAGAAATAATAGAATCACCCAAGAAAAACACAAAACCAGTCGTGCTTTTTCTATCATCAATATCTCCCGCATAATCACTATCACAAAATCCCATAAGGTTGAAATCACTAGAAGAAGAATAAAATAGCCCAAAGTCAATCGTACCTTCTTTTTTTTTTGATAACCGTGGTGTTCGGGCTAGCTTGCGCGGCCCAACTCCGGCGAGGAGCTTCCATGAGTGGAGGTAACAAAGAATTCTTCTAGCAACTTTCAAATGAGTGGAGGTAGGAGCTTTCATGAAGCGGCTTACTACTCCAACTGCAAAGAATATATCTGGCCTGGTACAAGTCAAGTACCTCAAACTTCCCACAAGACTTTTGAAAAACGTGGGATCCACTTTTTCTCCTTTATCAAACTTGGACAATTTTGTCCCGACTCTCCATCGGTGCGTTCACGGGGTTGTAATCGATCATGTTGAACTTCTTCAATATCTCTTTCGTATAGCTTTCGTGAGAGATGAAAATTTCATCCTCCATCTCTAGTTCTTCTTCATCACAAAGTATGGAAGAAAATCATATGAAATTTCTTCCATGAATCTAAAGGCAGTAGACAGTGGGAGACACTTGAGCTCTATCTTGTCCGTATCTTCCTTCTTTCATATATAAAATATATATATGGTACTTGTATTGAACTGAAATAGAAAATGCTCTCAGGCACTTTCCCAAAGACACTTCTCCTTCATGCTTCCTAGGATTGCATCACAACCCACCAAGAGCCAAGCTTCCCGCAACCAAAATCCAGTAAAGTTCTCCGACGTACGACCTCCCACGCGCGGCCTAGCTCCAGCGAGATCTCAGCCACGCGCCGACGCGTGCGGCTTTTTCCGGCCAGATCTCACTTTTTCTTCTTCTGACAGCCTCTTCGCAAGGCTTTTCCAAGCCTACCCATCCCAGTTTCAACAAAATCCGAAGACTTTTTCTTTTTCCGGCGACGCATGTGGCTTTTTCCGGCCAGATCTCACTGTTTCTTCTTCAGACAGCCTCATCGCGAGGCTGTTCTGAGCCTACCCATCCAAGAATCTCCAAAATCCGATGTCTGAAACTATTTTCCGGCGACGGGTGAGGCTTTTCCCGACCAGATCTCACTTCTTCTTCTTCAGTCAACCTCTTCGCGAGGCTTTTGGGACAGCCGAATTTAGATATGATGGATTCCACAGAGAGAAGCTCCTACTTCTCTCTAGAATCTAGAAAACTGGAAAACATGTCTTTCATTAAAGCTGCCTCTTGGTCAGACCTAGAACTTAGGGGAAGATGCCTTTGAAAGCACGACGTAGGGCAAGAGCCGCACTTCTCGCTGTCTGAGGAGCACACTCTCAGGCGCAAGGGTTTCTTGGAATCTTGTTTGATTGGGTCTTTCTCCAAATAGGTTGGTTCTCCAGAGCTGTTAGGAACTGGGCAGCAGAGGTATGGAACGTCAAGGATGAGCTGAAAATATCGCAACTGGGGGACACGCAATATCTCTTTCGATTTGTCGACGAGTCTCAAGCTTCAGAAATTCTTGTCAGAGGAAACAGGTGGTTCGATGGGAACTTCTTAAACCTAGACAGATGGGTTAAGCGTGATGGGTGTCTCGACCCTCGTTTCTCCGGCAAAACATTGGTGGTCAACATGGTGGGTCCCCCGCTGCATCTTTAGTGTCTTGACCTATTCAAGAAGATTGGGAAAATCTGTGGGGGGTTTATTGATGTCACTTGCAGCCTACACGATCTCTCGCGAGTGAGGATTGTGGTGAGGAAAAGGGGCAGAATCCCTGTCTCCACTGTGGTGGAGGATGGCTACTTGAGTTATAGGGTTTGGTTGAACCCTGAATTTCGCTTTATCTTTATGTCTGTGGTAGTGGCAGGAGAAAATGGAAGGTCAAATAAAAGGGAGGGGAGGGGAAATCAGTCTCTGAAGGGAGGAGAGGGCTCACCGAATCAGTGGACTAAGCCGAAATCAGACGTTAGATCGAGAAGAGACGGGGGATTTGAATTTGGGAGAAGAAAACAATTTTATCGAGGAGGAA